ACTGCACTTCATCCTGGGTGACAGAGTGAGACTTCAATTAAAAAAAAAAAAATAGCTAGGCTCGGTGGCTCAGCCTGTAATCCCGCGCTTTGGGAGGCTGAGTGATTGGATTGCCTGAACCCGTGGATTCAAGACCCGCCAGTCTGGGTGACAGAGTGAGACTCCAACTCAAAAAAAAAAACTAATCCAAAAGTAAAAATATTTATCTTGGCCGGACATGGTGGCTCACACCTGTAATCCCAGCACTTTAGGAGGCTGAGACAAGAGGATTGCCTGAGCCCAGAGGTTAGAGACCAGCTTGTGCAACTTGGCAAGACCTCATCTCTACAATAAATCAAAAAAATTAGCTGGGTATGGTGGTGCATGCCTATCATTCCAGCTACTTGGAAGGCTGAGGCAGAAGGATTGCCTGAGCCCAGCGGGTGGAGGCTGCAGTAGCTGGCAGTGGCTGCGAGTGTGCCACTGCACTCTAGCCTGGATGACAGAGTGAGAGTCCAACTCCAAAAAAAAATTTATCTTAATACTGGAAATGATTCTCTTTTCTTAACCTTTTGTGACATGTTATATAATTATACCCTATAACACCTTTCAAGGTATAATGTGTAGTCAAGGTACCACAGAATTTCTTTAAGCTAAACCCAGACTTTTTCTTTTACCTTATATATTTACAGATACTGAAAACTCTAAGTAAGCAAAATTCTAAGATCTTGCTGAACAGGACTGTCCAGTATCATAGAGTGCTACCATACAGATCAAAGTTTAGGGAGGACACAATGGACAGGATTCTAAAAAATAAATGCACAATTGGAGTGACTGATTTAAAACAAAAAAGATAGGTTAGAAGTTTAAATCAGAAGTAACTTTGTTCTGAATGGCTCTAACAATCCCATAATGCGTGCAGTATCAAATACAGTCTGGGTAATTAATTCAGTGGACTCTTCCCCTTTCACTGCCAGATTGAACAGCTCTGAGGATAATCTCCCTCACTCTCCCAGGGCTCAGTTGGAAGATTCATTATTTATGTCCTCAATTGTTTACTCTGTCCTATTTTTCCATCCATCTAGGCCCAAGGGCAGTGTTATCACTGGCCTGTTTCCAAAATGAATGCATTAGCTCATTGCCCTACTAGTTACAAAACCGAAAATAATGAAATACAGTGTTATCTTAACATTGGAGAGCAACCCCACTCACCATTTGATCTAGGAGAGAAGTAATGACAATGTCAACCCAGGTTACCAAAAGCTAAATTGTCTTTGATGAAGTGAGATCCATCCATATTTCATACTAGTCCTTTACTTTGAGCCACTGATCAACCTATATGTACATCCAGCAAGGATTTTTTTAAACTCTGAATAGCTGTTTTACCAGCAAGGACTCTTAAAGGGCAGTATCACTGGAAACACAGTTCTTGCCCTCACTAAGAGCAAACCTGTCAACTATTGAGGCTTAAACTGATTGAGATACAATTTGCCTAGCAACCATTCTTTAGGAAGAGTTCAGTAACTCAACCAGCAATCAATTCTACATCCTCATCTGACTGGTAAACAGATTACAGACTCCACCAAGTCCTCTACCCTCAGGATTCAGTCCCACAGCAAACAACTTCCTCAAAAGATTCAGCTTCCCAGAGTCAAACCCTCGGGGAGGGAGTTGTGCTTAAACACACAAAATATTGTCTGACACCTGACTGACAAAGCTGAAAAGCTAAAAACTACCATCAACCATATCTTCATATGAATGTATTCACTGTCTCTAAATAAATCTCTCACATTGAGAGAGCATTCTCAGGTCTTTTTTGCTTCTAATATTTTCTCACCTTGAGTAAGCTTCCCCCCCCATTCCAAACCTTACAATACTCAAGCCGATTATTATGAGAATCAAGCAACGCCAAGGGTCCAATATTTTCCTTCACCTTCTCTAGGGGATCATTTTATACTTCTGATGTGAATAGGGGATTAGGCTTGAGTCTCCCTTTAGAGAGAACATAGAGCCCTTTTTCTTAACACATTCTAAGCTGTGACTCACAGAAAAAAGAAGGATGGAATAAAAACAGATTGCTAAAGAAAATTAAATCAGTTACTTTAACCTCAGCAGCACTATGTCCCCTCAACCTAAGAGATTATAGGAATCTGTGTCAAAACAGAGGTTAATTAAAAAAAAAAAAAAACAGAGATTATGGAAAATCATGTCTTCGTATAATTGCTTCCTTGCAGAAGACCAAATTTGAGTTTCCATGCCCCTTAAATGATACTGGGAGATCAGTGTAGATACACCTATGATTAGTTTTGTCTCCTGGGAAAAATCCTTTGGGGAACCCCAATCACTGCACCATGCAAAATACTGATCACAAAGATCAGCTAAGAAAACAGAAATATAAAAAAGTAAAATTAGAAAAGTATAACATATACTTATAAATCTGTATTAACGGCTCATCTATGAATAGAGAACAACAACAAAAAATCACTTAAGATCAAATAGAAGGAAAACTCGTTTTTTGGTAGAAGCAAGTAGAAGTGGTATAGCCTCCAAGTGGTTTTTTCGGTCACTTCCCCAGTTTGCTATATCTTAGACATCAAAGTGCACTTTGTTTTATATACTAGCTAAGCGTACAAAACAGCGATTTTTAACAGTTCACTCACAGCAACAAGTTAAGACAACATCTAGAAGATCCTCTTTCCCTCCCAATTTAAACATGACTTATGGAATCTTTTTTTTTTTTTTTTTTTTGAGTTGGAGTCTCACTGTCACCCAGACTGGAGTGCAGTGGCCGCTCCTGGCCACCACAGCCTCAACCTGCTGGGCTCCGGCGATCCTTCCGCCTCAGCCTTCCAAGTAGCTGGAACTACAGGCGCGTGCCACCACACCCGGCTAATTTTTTGATTTATTGTAGAGATGAGGTCTCGCTAAGTTGCCCAGGTGGGTCACGAACGACTTATGGAGTCTTAAGGGACAAACTCATAATAAACCCAAAGCCCAAAATCCAACACAGGATTATTGTGAATCTATTTTTCAGTAACATTTCTATACTAAGGCTATTTGAGATTTTTAAAAAATATAAAATAAGTTTCCTGATCCCTGACTGCCACTGTTATGTTATGATGGATTAGGAAATCATCATAACATCACAGTGGTAATTTCAGTAATTACCATACTGAGATGATTTCCTAATCCATCATAACATAACAGTGGCATGCTCATGGTCATCGCAGCCTTCACCTGCTGGGCTCAGGCAATCCTGTCACAGCCTTCCAAGTAGCTGGAACCACAGCCATGAGCCACCAAGCCTAGCTAAGTTTTTTTTTTTTTTAATTGTAAAGACGAGGTCCCACTGTGTTACCCAGGCTCGTCTCACACCCCTGAGCTCAGGCGGTCCTCTTGCCACCACCTCCCAAAGTGCTTAGGATTACAGGAGTGAGCCCCCAGGCCTGGCCCCATCTCTATTCTTTTTTTTTTTTGAGATGGAGTCTCACTCTGTTGCCCAGACTGGAGTGCAGTGGCCACTCCCGGCCACCGCAGCCTCGACCTGCTGGGCTCCGGTGATCCTTCCGCCTCAGCCTTCCAAGTAGCTGGAACTACAGGCGCGCATTACCACGCCCGGCTGGTTTTTTGATTTACTGTAGAGATGAGGTCTCGCCAAGTTGCCCAGGTGGGTCTCAAACCCTCTATTCTTTATAATACTTCCTTTCACCCCAAATTGCTTCTGATTCATCAGGAATCCAATAAATCAATGCAAAGAAAAACACTAATCTAGCCAAAACTGTCAGTTTCAGCCTATCAATTCTATCTTCAAAATTGGACTCTAGTTAGAACAATCTTTGGAAACTGAACCTGGGTTATACAAATAAACTCTGAACCATTTTAATTAATATTTACCAAAGTGTTGTCAAAAAATGGATATTCATCCCTCCTGTTACTGTAGCTCTTTGCTAATCAATATTAAGATAACCTGGTTCAAACACTCTTAGATGAAAATGTCCAGTTAAAATAGGGGTGTCATAAACATTGCCACTCAACACACACATGCACATGCACACGCGCACACACACACAAACACACCCTTTGTTTCTCACATCATAAATTTTGAGTTTTCTATCTTCAATTGAGAACTTTCCCCTCAATTAAAAACATATAAAGAGGTTCCCTATTGTGGCTGGAGAAGTGATCAGTCTCCTTCAGAAAGAAAAGATCTATAAGTTGCAAAAGAATTCAAAATAGATAAATATTTAAATTGCAATACTACAGTCACCCAAATTCTTAAAGTTTGGGGAGAAGAAGCTTTTCAAAAAATTAAACAAGATTCATCTGGATTTTTTTTTTAAGTTTGATTTTTGGCAATGAAAACTAATTCCTCCTAGAGTCTATGAATATAAGAAATATAACGACAGAGAAGCAGATAAGACTTTTAAGTTTCAGTAAGAGCAAGGTAAGTTTGCCGGCTCTAGCCAGGTTCCCCAACACAAAGCCGGTGACAGTGTACTCTGGTAAGAGACTTTGTAGCAGAGTTAATCGCTAACAACTATCAGGATTTCCTTTAACCACCATTTGATGGGGGGCTGCTCCCTCCTTCCACTAGCACCTCCTCTCCTTTCAGACTGTTATTGCTGATTAAGGCAGTCCCAAGGAGGAAAATGGTGAAGACAGCCTTAATGGACACGGATGCAGTACAGTTCCAAAACCCACTCCTAGCTTGCCCCGTTTTTTTTTCTTATTGCGGTTTACTGCATCAGATGTCACACACAAAAAAGGACTCCTCTTTTCTTCTCTGTGTATTTTACTACGCGACCAACATCGACACATCGGTAAAAAGACGTAAGAGTCCTGAATCTCCTTACCCAGCTGCAGGGGTGAGATGAAGGGAAGGAAAGAAGGACGAAGGGTAGAATTAGAAAATCAAAATAAACTGACGGGATGTGGAGATCTTACTTCCCATTCCATTTTCCCTTTCCTGACAAGGTTAAGTCGGCCGAAGTCGGGCTGCATTAGAAAAAGCACACACACACCTTGCGCCGTGGAAAGGAGGTGAGGTTCGCTCCGCAGCGCTCGGTGGGGCTCCAGGCTCCGCCCCGCCCGCCCGGGACAGCTCAGCCCAGCTCGCCCCCACCCAGGCAGGATGAACGAGAAGGGGCTTCTAGCGGTCCAGGCAGGGGGAGGGGGAGGCGGCTGCTCCGGGGGCCAGGCTCACCGAGCGCAGCACTCCGAGGCGCGCCGACACCCCCTCCCCCAGCCGGCGGCCGCTCGCTCCCCTCCGCCGCCGGAAGCCAGCCCCGCCCCCTCACCTCCATCCCGGCTCTCCGCGAGCCCCCTCCCGTCTGCACAGCCAATGGCGAGGCAGGAAACCAGCAGAGCGACTCGCCAAGCAGCCAACTGGGGAGGCCCACTGGGAGGTCAGCCGCCGGGGATAGGCCAGCTACCCGAGGCCCCGGCCCCGGCGCGGCTCCTCTTTGTTAGCGCTGCCCCCATCTCTCCTGACCCCCACCCCAAAGCCGGAGCCCAGCAACCCGCAGCTGAGCCAGGTGACGCCTCGCCTTCTCCCGCTGCCCCCGCCCACTCTCTGCCTGGGTACTAGAAGTGACCCCCGCCAGGCAGTACCTCCCTGAGTGCCTCGGACTTCAACGGCAGCTGCCGCCGGGAGACGCCGCCGACAGTAAAAGATGCTCCCCAGGCCTCTCTGCCTCGCCTTCCTTTTCTCAGGCTAATAACCTGCACTCCCTCATGACAGGGGCTGGATTTAGGTTTGCATAATAAATCAGCTGCACACATCAATCCTCCCTGTCGGAAACCCCTGCTTCCCGTGACGCAGAAATTAAGGGGGGAGGGGGGTGGAGACGTATTAACAAAGTATGTATCTAGAAGTTGGTGGGGTGGGATAGAAGGGAATACATAAAATCATCTGCAAAAGACAAACATACCAAAAAACCACGAGGCCAGGTGCAGTAGCTCACACCTGTAATCCCAGGACTTTGGGAGGCCAGGAGTTCTAGGCCAGCATGGGCAGTATAACGAGATCTCCCACTCTACAAAAAATTTTAAAAATTAGCCAGGCATGGTGGCGCACACCTATAGTCCCAGCTTTAGGGAGGCTGAGGCTAAGGCAGGCAGAGGATTGCTTGAGCCCAGGAGTTCAAAGATTAGTCGGGCTCGGTGGCTCAGCCTGTAATCCCACGCCTTTGGGAGGCTGAGGTGAGTGGATTGCCTGAGCCCACGGGTTTGAGTCCCGCCTGGGCAACTTGGCGAGACCTCATCTCTACAATAAATCAAAAATTAGCTGGGCGTGGT